TCATTCAGTGAAATAGAGGACTTGCAAGTATTCTTGATGAAAATACCAGAGCTGAATAGAAAATGTGACTTTCAAATAAAAGACTCAAGTGAAAAATGAAGAGGTAAATAGGAAAGAGAAATCATAGGAGACATATTAAGGTTGAATTGTTTATATTCCTGCATGGAAAGATAATATTTGTAACTCATGAGACCTTTGTCAGTATTAGGGTAGTTGGAGGGAAAAAAATATATGTAGATAGATAGATAGATAGATAGATAGATAGATAGATAGATAGATAGATAGATACATAGATAGATGGATGGATGGATAGATAGATAGATAGATAGATAGATAGATAGATAGATAGATAGATAGATAGATAGACAGATAGATGGCACAGAGTGAGTTGAAGATGAATGGGTGATGTCTGGAGAATAAAATTAAGGGGTGAGAGAGGAATGTATTGGGAGGAGAAAGGGAGAGGTAGAATGGGGTAAATTATCTCACATAAAACAGACAAGAAAAGGCTTTTACAGTGGAGGGGAAATGGGGGAAGGTGAGAGGGAATGAGTGAATCTTATTCTCATAGGATTTGGATTAAGGAGGGAATAACATACACACTCAATTGGGTATGAAAATCTATCTTATCCTACTGGAAAATAGGGGGAGAAGGGGACAAGAAAACAGGGGTATGATAAGTGAGGACAGATTGGACAAGGGGGTAATCATAAGCAAATACTTCTGAGGAGGGAGAGGGTCAAAAGAGAGAATAGAATAAATGTGGGGGTAGGATGAAGGGAAATATACTTTTTTCCCAACATGAATACTATGAAAGTGTTTTGCATGACTACACATGTATAAACTATATTGAGTTGCTTGCCTTTCCAGTGTGGGTGGGTGGGGAGGGAGAAAGGGAGAAAATTTGGAACACAAGTTTTAAAAACACATGTTAAAAATTGTTTTCACATGCAACTGGGAAATAAGAAATATAGGAAATTGGGTATATAAATCTATCCTGCCCTACAGGAAAATAGAAGGAGAAGGGGATAAGAGAAGGGGAGGGAGAGATGGAAGGTAGGATAGGTTAGGGGAAGGGGTATTCAGAATGCATGCCATCTTGGAGTGGGGTGAGGGATGAGATGGGGAGAAAATTTGGACTTCAAAATCTTGTGGAAGTGAATGTTGAAAACTAAAAATAAATAAATTTTAAAAAATAAGACAATAATAAATTTTAAAATGCCATAAAACAATTTCTAGAGTGGCAGAACCCACAAAATGATGGGGTGAAATCATTTTCCAGCCAAAGACAACTTAGAAAGTTGATAGGAATGGTTGGTCACACTGGGGTGAGAGTGGAGCATAGCCCTGGCCCCAACAAACTAGGAACTTGGAAGACACTGAATCAGCAGAAGCAGCAGCTGCTTCCATAACTTTTAACCCACAGATGGTAAGGTAGCCAAAAATGTGATCAGAATAAAATTGCAGGGGTCTCTTTGCTGGCACTGGGGCAGGACTCTGTTGTTGTACCCATAATCAAATCTGGGTCACAGTCCTGGGTGGCAGTCCCAGGGTGAGGAAAAGCACCAGCACACCAAAACTTGTGGACCACAGTGCAGCAGGAATCCTTTTCACAGTTCCAGGGAAGAAAAGAGTGCTTGTGGTCACTCATAAACCAGAGCATAGGCCAGGGCAATAGTAAACATACTTCTCTTTAGATCACACAACCTTAGAAGAACTGAAAACGTACAGGTCCCTAGAAGTATCTCTGAAAACAGCTGCACAAAAACCCTTGAAGCTTGGGGCAGGGCACCCTCCATTCTGGAAGAATGGTCCCACTTTAATAAAGAGTTAAAAAATCAAGAAATAGAATGGGAAAATGAGCAAACAACAGAAAACAATTCTGACCATATAAAGTTAGTAAAGTAACAAAGAAGATCAAAACACACACTCAGAAAAAACAAAACAAAAAACAACAACAAGAAGAAGAACAACAAAAAAGTCGAAGCTCCAACGCCCATAGCTTCTAAGAAAAATATGAATTGGTCTTGGGCCATGGATGAGTTCAAAAAGGATTTTGAAAATCAAGTAAGAGAGGTAGAAAAGAAACTGGGAATAGAAATGAGAACATTGCAAAAAAAAATCATGAAAAAGGAGTGAACAACTTGGCAAAGGAGACACAAAGAATACTGACGTGAACAACACCTTAAAAACAGACAAAGCCAAATGGTAAAAGAGGCACAGAAAGCTAATGAGAAGAATGCCTTAAAAAGTATAATTTGCCAAATGGAAGAGAAGGTACAAAAACTCACTGAAGAAAATAATTCATTAGAGATTAAAATTGAGTAAATGGAAGTTAATGGCTTTATGAGAAATCAAGAAATGATAAAACAAACAAAAAAAAAGAATGAAAAGATAGAAGACAATGAGAAATATCTCACTGGAAAAGCAACTGACCAGGAAAGTATATCCAGGAGAGATAATTAAAACTATTGGAGTACCTGAAAGCCATGACAAAAAAGAGCTTAGACCTTATTTTTCAAGAAATTGTCAAGGAAAATTGCCCTGATTTTCTAGAAATGGAGGATAAAATAGAAATGGAAAGAATCCATTGATTACCTCCTGAAAGAGATCCCAAAATCAAAACTCCCAGGAATATTTTAGCCAAATTCCAAGAGCTTTGAGGTAAAGGAGAGAATATTGCAAGCAGCCAGAAAGAAACAATTCAAGTATCATGTATACTTGTTAGGATAACACAAGATTTAGCAGCTTCTTCATTAAAACATCAGAGGGCTTGGAAAGTGATATTTCAGAAGGCAGAGGAGCTAGGATTACAATCAAGACTCAGCAAAACTGAGTATTCAGGGGGAAACTGGACATTCAAGGAAATAGAGGAGTTTCAAGCATTCTTGATGAAAAGACCAGAGCTGAATAGAAAATTTGATTTTCAAAAACAAGACTCAAAAAAAGCCTAAAAACGAAATGATGAGCAGGATGCTCCCAGAGAAACCTGCAGAGATTTGCATAAGGTGATGCAAAGTGAAATGTACCATCTACAAAGCAACAGCAATGTTGTGGCATAATCATCTGTGAATGACTTGGCTATTCTCAGCAATGCAGTGATCCAAGACAACTCAGAGACTTATGATGAAAAATGCTATCCATCCCCATGACAAAGAACTGATGGTGTCTGAATACAGATTGAGGCATGCTTTCTTTTACTTTATTTTTCATGAGGTTTTTGTTTTGTTTTCTTTTGATTTTTTTATCTGTGTTTTCTTCTGCAACATGACTAATACAGAAATAAATTTTGCATGACTATACGTGTACAGTCTGTGTTGAATTACCTTCTCTACAAGGGGTAGGGTGGGAAGAGAGGAAGGGAAAGAATTTGGAACTCAAAGTTTTAATAACAAATATTAAAAAATGTTTAAAATGTTACATATTTTTACATGTAAGTGGGGAAAATAAAATACTAAACAAAAAAAAAAGAAAACGAAAATCACTTTGGCAGCATGGAAGATGGAGTGGAATGAAGAGAAACTTTAGGTTGGGAGACCAATTAGGAGACAGTAATCAAGTGAGAGGTGATAAGGGCCTGAACTAAGTTTAGTAGCTGTATGAATGAAAGAGTTTATGACTTCTTGAAATAAATGGGAGAAATGATGTGGAGGAAGAGATGGCAAGATTTGGAAACTTACTGGATGGATATGTGGGGTGAAGAAGTGTTAAGAGTCAAGGATAAGGCTGAGTTTAATAATCTGAGAGAATTAAAGACTAGTGGTACCTGCCACTTTAATGTAGAAGTTCAGAAGAATAAAGGTTTTGGGGAAAAGATAACAAGCTCTGTTATGATCATTTTTGAAAAGTCTCAAGGACATCTGTTATGAAATGTTCAATAGGCAATCAATGACATGGAACCATAGCTCAGGTGAAAGAGTAGGATTGAGGGATCACTGGTAACTTTGGAGAGAATAGTTTTGGTAGAATTGTGAGGTTGGAATCTGGATACTAAGGGATTAAAAAGAAAGTGATAGGAAAGAAAGTGGAGGGCTCTCTTGTAGATGGCCTTTTCAAGGAGTTTAGCAAAAAAGGCAGAAGAGATATAGCACCATAGATAATAGGGATAACTGGGGACATAGCATTTCACTGTATATTCTGGGCCAGGCTTTGATCAAGTTAGTCTAGGGATTCAGATTCAGGATTAAGTTAAATGAGCCATACACTTGTGGACCATAAAATGTAACTTAACATTAAAAAGGAATTTTCAAATTTCAAAAGGAACATAACTTAGAAAAAGAAAAAAAAACAACATTCCTTTCCATCAGCTCAATCAATACAGTAATCAGCTACACTAGATTAGAAATGAATTGCCATATGGAAGTGGGAATTCTGCAAAACAACAACAACAACAACAACAACAACAACAACAACAACAAACTCAGTTATTAATTCCCCAAAGGCTGACTTTTAGATTTCAGGCAGCAAAGAAGCCAAACTTTTGTTCCCTTAGTGGATCAGTTCAACCCACGTAAAGTAAGCTCCACCTACCACATCCCAAACTTAAAAAGAAGGGAACTTAAGAGATAGGTACCTTCGGTAGAAGTAACACATTCATTTGAACTTATTTACATAGAGATGAGAATGAAAATATATAGATCTTTTCCTGAGGACAAGTTTAAGTAGGAAAGAATAGTGAAAAAAAAAACAGGGTAAAATAATGTAAGAAGAGTCTTGGAGTTATGAACATACACTTTACTAACTTTCCAACATTGTCAAATAATTCCTGTATTTGGGTCAGATTTACATAATGCACTAAAACACTTGGATGGGGGAACTGAATTGGATCTTTTCATTTTTTAAAAATGTTTTGAAGTTTAGTTGGATATGGTAGGAGGCTCAGAACAAGTCAAATGTTCTCTTGATTTGATCTTTCATACTTAGTGGTCATATCTATGGTCTTGGGAAGTTCAACATCTTATATATTGATATTTTATGACTTCTTGAAATAAGTTCCCTACCTACAAAAAAATGACTGTTTAGCTGCAATCGAAAATGCCCTTCCTCTTGCGTATCCAGTATCTTTGTTGGAAGGTCATCCACCTGGAGCAAAGTCTGTTTGAGATTTCTTTCAGCCCGTACATAATGCCATTGGTTGTCATTCAGGGGGGATGGAGAGAGAATTGTGAGCTCCAAGGGGCCATTCCCAACATCAATGGCAAAAGTGACTTCTGAAGGAGCTGGAACAGAAAATGAGGAACATTAGAAAAAGCTATTGGAGTACATGAATAATCAGTACATGAAAAGGCACATGGATAATTTGTTTACCAAATAAAAAAGAAGAATGTCACAGAATCACAGCATCTCATAATATGAAGTAGCTTTGGCGTCAACTTTTCCAACCTGTTTCTGAGTAGAAATTTCATTCACAGTATTATCAATAAGTGATCGTCCAGAATCAAATAATAACAAGCTTTTACATTGCACTCTTAAAGTTTCACAAGGTACCAAAAAGATGTTATCTCTTTTGATACTCAAAACAATCCTCTGAAGGTAGGTGCCATTATTATTTGCATTTTACAGATGAAGAAACTGAGACTGATAGAAGTTCAATGACTTGCCCCAACTCATACTGCTAGCATCTACGTGAAGACCTCATGGAGAGGGGGAATCCATTACTTCTGGAAGTAGCCCATTCCACTTTAGGACAGCTTTGATTATCAAAAAGTTTTTTTTCTTATATTGTTCTGAAATATGCTTCTGTAGTTTCTATCCACAGCTTTCAGGTCTACTCTCTGAGGTTAAGCTGAATATGTCTAATTTGTCTACATGGTAGTCATTTAAATAATTGAAGAAAATTGTGATGTCTCTTTTAAGACTTTCTGTGCAGCTAAACAACACAACCTCAGAGGTGGAAAGGAATTCACAGGCCATCTAGTTACATTCACATAAAATCCAGTTTATAATATCACTGACATATGGTTATCCATTCTTTGCTTGAAGAACTCTTAAACTACAACTTCTATTCCATTTTTACATAATTCTAATCATTAGCATATGTTCCCTGACTTTCCTTTTTTGTAAAAATTTACCCATTGTATACCCTGGGACCACACATAGCAAATCTGATCCCTCCTCTGTGTGTCCTAAGGATAACCTTCCCCAGTTATTTCAACCAAACTTTATATGATTTAAAAAGGTAGTTTGTTCATCCTTTTCTGGACACTGTCAAGAACACTGATGTTCTTTCTAAAATTTGGAACTGAAACAATGCTTCAGCTCTAGTCTTACTAGGGCAAGATGTAGTAGATTATCACTATTTCTCTCTACGTTAATGAAGATCTCATTAGCTTTCTGATGGTAACATCACACTTAGGGCTCAGAGTAAGCTTCGCATCCACTAAGAACCACAGATCTTTTCACCTGAACTTCTGACTATTCATTCCTCCATCTTGTGTTTGTGAAAGTATTTTTTGTTTTGTTTTGTTTAAACCAAGTTTAACATTTTACAATCATTCTCATTAAATTTCATCTTTATAAATTTTGACAAATGTTATAACCTTTCAATAAATATTTCAAAAATTCTGACCTTATTGCCCAATTTGATACCTATCCCTCCTGACTTTATTGAATCTTAAAATCTAATAAGAAAATGATCCATGCCTTTATTCAAAATACTGGAAAAATGTTAAACAGCACAAGCATAAGCACAGAAACTTGAAGAAGTCTGTTGGATACATCTTTCAAAATTATCATTGAATGATTAATGATTATTTTGGGGGTCCAGTAATTCAACACATTTTAAAAGTGATTAAGGGGGCAGCTAGGTTGCACAGTGGATAGAGCTCTGGCCTTGGAGTCAGGAGGACCTGAGTTCAAATCCAGTATCAGAGCAGACACTTGACAATTACTAGCTATCTGATCCTAGGCAAGTCACTTACCCCCAATTACCTCACCAAAAAAAAAAGTGATTATATTATATTATGGGTCATCTTTATATATATTTGCATAAGAAGAGCATAAATGCTTTTATCAATGTTTTGCTCAAATCTGGGTAAACCAGACCAACTAATTTAATAATCTGATCATAAGGAAAGCAAAATTATTTTAAAATAAGCTCTTCTTGTTGAAACTTTGCTGGTTTTCATGAACACTACTTTCTCTTCTAGATGCTCACTAATCATTTATACTGTAATATATTGCAGAATTTTACCAGGAATTGAAGTATAGATCATTTTTCTATAGTTTATAGGGAATGTCCTCTTCCCTTACAGGGCCAGGGTGGTATAGGTTTTAGAATGAGAAGACCTGTGTTAAAATCCACCTCTGCTACTTATTACTTGTGCAGCCATAGGCAAGGTACTTAACTTCTTGAGGCCTCTGTTTCCTCATCTGTAAAATCAGGAGATTCAACTAGGTGGCTTTCTTAGGTCACTTATGACTCTAAATCTTTAACCTTATAAATATTATTATAAGTTTAGTCTTCTTCAGCTCTATAACCCCTGTCTTATTATCTTCACTCTTTATTATTATTATTTTTGCTAAGCAATAGGGTTGAGTGATTTGCCCAGGGTCACATAGTTAGTAAGGGCCAAGTGTCTGAGGCCAGCTTTGAAACTCAGGTCCTCTTGGCTCCAGGGCCCATGCCCTATCCACTGTACCACCAAGCTACTTTTATCTTCAGATTTTAAAAAATAAATTACTAATAGTAGATTGGCAATCTCATCTGACAATTCTTTCTGTGCCTTTGGGTGCTACAATATCACCTGGACCAAGTTCTATCACCTAATTCTTGGCTTTCTACTCCTTTTTAAATATGTGAGTTCTTTCCTTTTAAGCAAATTTATTATCATTATTATTATTATTACTTTTACTATTATTATTATTATTGTTATTATTGGCAGAGAAAACAAAGTAAGGCCAAGTATATTGAAGTTAACATTTTATTGAACAGGTTCCTAAGCACAAATTAGAAGAGAAAAGCAAAAAAGATATTGGATAATGAAGAATCTACTCTAGGGTTCTCCAGCATTTTCTCCCCCTCTAAAATTCACAGAATCTTAGAGCTTGGAAGAGAACTTGGGGATCAACAGGTTCAATACTTTCAATGCAGAAATGAGGGCGCTGAGATTTGGAGGTGGTAAAGGGACTTGTCCAAGGTGTAAGTAGGTGAGACAGAATTCAAAGTAGGCCTTTTAACTCCAAGTTGGTTGCTCTTTCTGTAATGCCTGAAATATTAATAATTTCTACTGCAATAGAGGTACTGTGGAATCCAGTAGGAAGAAGAAAGTAGGTTGTATATGTGTGTGTTTGGCTGAATTTTCTTCTATATTGTGCCAACTAGATTATTCTCTCTCTCCTTTCTAATTAAACTGAGTGGAGTCACATGGTGCATGTCTGTTGTCTCTAATACTGGGGAGGTTAAGGATGGTGGATTACTTGAGCTCAGGAGTTCAGAACTGCGCAGGTACAGAACAAACTATGTCCCTATGAAATCCAACACCTCTGTGGTGAGGCCCCAAGGGTGGAAGGAGGGGTGGACACCAGGGTGCCTAAAAAGAAGTGAAATGGCTGGCCTCAGAAATGGATTAGGCAAAAGCTTCCAATCTGATCTGTAGTTAGATCATGGAGTGAGTGGTCTATACTTTGAGATAGGGAGATAGAGATAGATAGATCGAGAGAGAGAGAGAGAGAGAGAGAGAGAGAGAGAGAGAGAGAGAGAGAGAGAGAGAGAGAGAGAGAGAGATTAGTGGAATAATTTCATTTTTTGTTTTAGAAAAAAGTGAAAAAGGGAAGAGATGGTGTTTCTTTAGTAGTATACTTGGAATCTCTACAGCCCACTCCCTTATGCACCTTCCTTACCCATAAATATCCTTTCCCCCTTTCCTTGGGCCTCCTTCTTTGCCTCTAGCTAGATACCATTATGCAACATTGTATTCAAAGATGAATTTGTGGCATGTTTGATAGTATTAATTCCTGTGTCTAAATCAGAAGAAAAGCTAAAACTTTTGTTTGAATGTCTTCTCTCCTTCCCCTAACCCTTGGAGCAAAGAAGTACTCAATGCACTGCTTTTCAAAGGTACCAAGTCTTAATTTGAAAACAAAACAAAACAAAACAAAACTTATGTAATATAATTTTCTGCCAAATGTGAACTACATCACTACTTTTATTTATGGTCTTATTGACCCAGGAAAATCATCATGTACTCACAAACCCAAACATGAAAAAAATTAAACTTGCATGAATAAAAATGGATGATTTACAAATGTGGATTTTTCATGAAAACTGAAAGTGACCTATATCACTACTATTACATTTGCTCTTCAGGATGCTGGTAACCTGTGCTGAATTTTTAGGCTTCAATCAAGCAATTAGAAATGAATGTCCATAGGACTAACACTTCTACATGAGATCAAGTGGTAAAAAATATTGTGGGGTGACTGGTCAAGAATTTGCAAAACACATCTCTGCAAAGATAGGCTTGGTAGTATTGTTTTCTTTGCTGCCCTTTCCCCATTTATATCAAACTTCATTCTTTATTACGATGAAGATAGTCTTCAGGAATTCATTCTCTTTGAAACTAGCACATAAGATACTCAAGCATAAAAACCTCATCTTATATTAAATCAAATTAACAATTATTTATTGGCCTGTGCTTGGCACTGAGGAGGATACCCCCCCAAAAAAAATGTGTAAGACATCCTTGCACTCAAGAAACTTGTAGGCTTTGGGGGAAGTTAAGGTTAACAGGCATGAAATAGCTATCAAACAGATTTTAATTGTTTCAAAACCCCCCCACCCACTTATACCACCTAGAACAGAACACTCTCTAGACAGAATGATAGATACAGTAGATACATAGATGATAGTTAATAAATATGTATTGACCAAATGATATAACACCATTCAAGCTACAACCAGTTCTATGTTTTGAATGAGTCATTTAACTGAAGTCCTATATCCCTCTGTGTCTGGTGATTTATTAACTTTATTTTATTCACCTGTAATGTAAGCGGGTTAGACTTGCTGCCCTCTAAGGTCTCTTCAAGGTCTAATATTCTTTGAATCTATGAATAGAGGAGTTTGTTTTCTATTTAACTGGGAGATGATCAAAAAGTTATAGCTATAGATCTTAAAGAGGCACTGTGATAAAAATGAGAAGAGCTGTTTACTTGTAGGCTGGAAATTTAGGTTCTAATATAAACTGAACCACCAACTCACTAGGTGAAGTTGGGAAAGTCATATAACCCAAAAGTCCTTGGGTTTAATAAGCTGGAAAATGAAAATATTAGATTAGATAATCTCTAAAGATCCCTCTTGTTTTAAAACTTTATTCTATGACTATATTAAGGAAATGTACATCTAGGCTGATGTCAAATTCAGCATGTTGTCCCAGATCACTGACTCCGATGTCTAGAAGCTTAAGTATGTCAGTCTACCAATAACATTGAATGGGATGTCCCAGCGAAGACTCCTCAGTGTAATTAAGGTTTGGGATAAGGCTGAGTGGGATGTGGGGTCCCGTGAAAACTTCTTAGAAGAATAAATAGAAATTGTGTTAGACTCAAGGCAGGCATAGCAGCCTGACAGGCCTAAGTTTCAATTTACTAGGAATCACCTAATTTATGAGAACTCAACCCCAAGTACCCCCCCCTTATGCCATTGTTAAGTAGTTAAAGTTTGTCAAGCCTGAAACTCCAGAAGAAGCCCCCCGCCCTGTATTTTGTTGATGCACCTGTTGCTATATTTCAGTCATGGTGACGTGGCTATACAGTACAGTGTCTAGCTTGACTGCACATCTTTAATTGCTTCTTTGGAATTACTTTAGCAAACTAAGAAATATAGATATGTATATTGTGTTCATTGTTTTATTTTCAGTTTCTATGGACATTGAGAATGTGAGCCAAATATTGGCCAGTTGGTGGGGGGGGAATTTGCCCATTAGGGTATATAATCAGGTCCTTTTGCTTCTGTCTGTGTCTCCTTTCATCAGAGTATTCTGGTGGAGGGACACCCAAATCTTGAGGTTTGATATAATAATAATAAATTAACTTTCTGTTTCTCCTTGGATACCTCTGTGTGTTCTTTAATTTGAGTGGCATCCCACACAACATGGACAGAGACTGTTTCTTTTTTTTTGTCTTTCTATCCCAAGTGCCTAGAACAGTACCTGTCATTTAAGAAATGCTTGTTGAGTGAGTGACTGTATATATCTATAGGTTGATAGACTGTACATTGGATGTGTTCCTGTTCTCCCTCTCAGCTTATACTCTTTATATATACATACTTATATCCCATGAGATAATTAGATAGTCACTATGTATGCTGAAGAACAACTCAGAAAGAGGGAGAGATTCATAGCTAAGTCTATTCTTTGATAGCTCAGGGACATTCAACAGCAGAATTACAGCTCAATCCAAAAAAAAAAAGTCCCAAGTTCTTTATACTTATCAAATATACTTATCAAAATATATTCACAACTCTAGTAAGCAAGTTGCCAAAATAGATAAGACTTTTTTTGACAAATAATTAGATTCTCTTTGCCACTGCAAAAAAAAAATCCATTAAGGCTTGAGGACATACTGAAATGTCTCCTTTTTTCATAGCATACTCAATAATCCCAAGACTGCTAAATTCAAATGGCTAGTTGGAAGTGACCCAGAAGTCAATGGATTGAAAAATTCATAGAAACCTGTTGTTTCCTGTCCAACAAATTGGATGCATCAAGTTTGGAAGCTGTTGCTCAGATTGTTAAGGGAGGAACACTCCATAGGGATGGGGGAAAAATTCTATTCTGAGTCTCTGCATCTGTTAAAAGGCCATTTCCTTACCAAGCAGCTGGTCTGTTGAGGTTCCTTGCTATGAACCCTTTAGGCAGAAAATTCCATCTGGCTGCAAGATGCAATATGATGATATGCTAAAGAGGAGCCCAAGACTTGGGGGAAGGGGAATAGAAAGCAGAGGGATCTTGAAACTTCCCAATATTTACATTTATACTTGTTTTAAAAGTATTTGTTATATAGTATGCTAATATGCTTCTACTAAACAATTATCTCAGTGGATTTCAATGTTCTGCCACACTTAATGTTAACTTGCATTTTTTTAACCATACTAAGAATGAAGTACAATATCACAAAGTATAAACAAATTGGACTTAGATGTGCAATTAACACTAAATCATACCTCATTACCTTGTGATAATACACCATGACATTAACCACTGTGTTAATGAATCAAAAGGCTGTGGGGCAAGATTTTATTAAATTTTATGCTAAGGTTATTATAAGCATATTATGAAATGGTTAGTACTCGATTCCACATTTTCAGTGCCCAGCAGAGTTGAGAATGAAGGATCCTATTTCACATCCAAAACCACAATTGCTTCCTTCCATTAATACCTGAAATCATTGGAGTAAAAGGAGGTTAAAGCTACCAGTTAAAGAGATCTCTTTCCTTACATGCATTGTGTTGTGATTGCAATAGAACCACTTAGCATCTCTGTTTAGCAAAAGCCTTATGAAATCTTCAGAAGTAGTCTCCTTGGGTAAGACCTTCCATCTGCTCTTTGGGGGGAGGAGCATGGGGGACTGGACTCTTAAATTTCAAAGTGTATTTTGCTTAAACACTATTTACACTATCAAGGGTATTTTATGCAATTAGGTCATTGATGCAATCCAGTCAATTAATTCAATCTGACTGTGCAAGGGCATTGAACTGGGTGCTAGAAATAGAAGGAATATCTATTTACAAGCAAGAGGGTACAAAGATGAGGTAGCAAAATCTCCCTGCAAACAAGGCTGCAACTAAATAGGCAAGGGCTAATGGGGTGACAGCCATGAGCTGTAGACCTGACCCTGTAGTAATATACGTGTGAGATGTTGGAAAATAAATCAGGTGGTCTCCTTTAGATAAAAGTGTAAGACCACAAGGCCAAAACTGAAACAATCAAAATAATAAGCAAAACTAATCTTTATACAGAATTCAAAAGATCTGTAATTTCTCTGCTGCTGGACAGTTTCATCATCTACACTGATTTTTCATGGTAACCTCCAAGTAATTTTGGCTTAAAAATACTCTTTGAGACCTCATTGAGCCTGGTCCTCAGATAAGAGACAGAAAGTAACTTGTCGGGCATACACTTAATTTTTTTTTCTCCCTTAACATTGTTGAAAGTGACATTGTTCCTCTGTGACAGTCTCCAAGAATACAGTTACCTGCAGTCTACATTAGGGGTAGGAACATCATGGACCACAGCTTTACAACATCACTTTGAAAAGGTGAGCAAGACTTATGAAAGCGAATGGCCGGTATTCTTGGTTGCAATGCTTTATCAACGAATCTCACAGAATGAAATAATCTAGTGGGATGTTGTTAGTGGGAGGTGATGTTTATCATAGAATCACAGAATTTTAGAGCTAGAAGAGATCTTATAGGCAGTGTAGTTCAATCCCCTTTTTCTGCAGATGAAGAAATTGAAAGCCCAGAGAGTAAAGCTGCCTGACTAAAGTTAACAGAGGTAGTAGTTAATCAAGTCTGCATGTCATCCCCCATTCAGGTGTGTCCCATATGTCAAATTCCTAAACATAGTTACTTACAGCTTATTTCCAGTCGAATGAAGTCTTTAATGCCAAGATTTTCCAAGAAGATGCCAGACAAAGCCGTGGTTTTGAAAAAGAATGAAATATCAGCACTGAACTCTGCATGAAAGGTGGGGAATTGAAGGTAAGAGGCTTCTGTATTAAATGAGGCTGCGTTCCAAAAATGCCCTGGGGGGGAAAACAAACATCCTTCATTGGTATAGAAATCAATGGCTGCATGGAAAGAATTAGAATATCCTTTACAGAGTTCTTTATCATGGAAGGGGTTTGAGGGACACTAGGCAAGTAAAGCAGGTAATGGTTCCGAGCTGTGGAAGGCCTAGGAAGGAAAGGGAGAGTGAGCATATGAAGGTGGTGAAGCATCTTATATAATATGAATTAAAAGTGTTTTTTGGTTTATTACTCACGGTCGCCATAGCAACGTAATGGGCCAATTCTCCAAGCAGCTTCTGAGTTTGATCTGTTGGTATCAGTGATAACTATCTGGGTGACAGGCAAGTGGTCTTTGAAGGAAAGAAGGCCAGTGTCATTTGTCCTAAAAAACATAAATACAGAACAGGTCTTTTATTTTTAAACATTTTCAAGGTTGACAGTAGAAACCTTTCAGTAACCTGCTTTTCCAAAATGTTCTCTGAAGCTGAAGGCAAGTAGGCAGGAAGGAGAAAAGGCAAAACAGAAATGAAGGGCAACCCTTTCCCACTTAATTAGCAATCTGAGAATCTGAGAAAGCTTGAAAACTTAAATCTTAAAATCTATGACCAGTTTCCAAATATAAGCAGATTTTCTTTTTTATTAACAGTTTTTTTCTGAAAGACAGAGAGGTTTCAGGGATTACAACTACACAAAAGACTTAAGAACATCTGCACATACAGATATCAATTTAAATAGTTGGCACTAATGCTAGATTAAAGATCACTTCCCCTGTCCTGTAAAGAGATCTGCTATCTTAATAACTAGCTCATTGCCAACAGTACAAATCCTACTTCCAATCACTCCAACAGCTCATTTTAGACAAGTATGGACAGCTTTTAATCAGTCTTGGTTCCCCAATTGATAAATGGTCTAAGGATATGAACAAGCAGTTCTTAGATGAAGAAATTAAAGCCATCTATAGTCATATGAAAAAATGCTCTAAATCACTATTGGTTAGAGAAATGCAAATCAAAACAACTCTGAGGTACCATATCACACCTATCAAATTGGCCAAGATGACAAAAAAAGAAAATGAGAAATGTTGGAGAATATGTGGGAAAATTGGAACACTAATGCATTTTGGTGGAGTTGTGAAATGATCCAACCATCTTGGAAAGTAATTTGGAAGTATGCCCAAAGGGCTATAAAAATGTGCATACAAAAAAAGGTGCAGCAATAGCATTTTTCGGGCTATATCCCAAAGAGATCATACAAATGGGAAGAGGACCCACATGTATAAAAATATTCATAGCAGCTCTTTTTGTGGTGGCAAAGAATTGGAAATTGAGAGGATGCCCATCAATTGGGGAATGGCTAAACAAGTTGCGGTATATGAATGTAATGGAATGCTATTGTGCTATAAGAAATGATGAACAAGCAGACTTCAGAAAAACCTGGAAAGACTTGCATGTTCTGATGTTGCATGAAGTGAGCCAAACCAGGAGAATGTTGTACATGATAGCAGCCATGTTGTGCGATGACTAATATTGATAAACTTAACCCTTCCCAGCAATATAAGGATCTAAGACATCTCCAAAGGCCTTGTGATGGAAAATGCTATCCACATCCAAAGAAAGAACTATGGAGTTTGAATGCAGATCAAAGCATACTATTTGCTATTTTGTTTTCTTCTGTTGAGTTTTGTTTCCTCTTTCTGGTAGTTCCTCCTATTAGTTCTAATTCTTACTTACAACATCATTAATGTGAAAATATGTTTAATAGGAATGTATATGTATAGCCTATATCAGATTGTGTGCTGTTTTGGGGAGGGTTGGGGGGGAGGGAGGGGGAGAAAAATTTTAAGCTCAAAAGCATATGGAAGTGATTGTTGATAAATCAAAATAAATTAATTACATTAAATTACATTAAAAAATTTAAAAAAAGAAATGAGAAAAAAAATCAGTCTTGGACCCTGATCATTGTTTTGTCTCTTGCCTGAAATGGATCTTAGTATAACTTTCCTTTTCTATCTCTAATGTTTTTCTTAAAAAAAAGATCCTGGAAAGTATAGTTTTGTTCTTTCATTTTTTTAAATGTTAGTAAGAATTATCATTGATTCTTATAGTTCCCTTACCCGTTAGCCTTTGTCAGATAAAATGGGAACTGGCAGCTTTAGAGACTTGTCCTAGCGCACTTCCTTGGGCAAATAATTTAAAATCCTGGGGCCTTTGTTTCCTTATCTGTAAAATGTGTGATTTCAACTAGATAGCCTTTAACACCCTTCCAATTCTAAGCCTGTGACTCTATGATCTATTTTCTTTATGCCCATTTTAAATATTGATCAAGATTCCCTCTAGGAATGTAAAGTATTTTTAATAAAGGGAAATAAGTAGATGGTCATTTAGGTTGTGAATGGGTTTGGGGAGGTATGTATAGAGGTATCCCTGTCTTGAGCAACGTGTACTACAATCACACGATTTTACTTGAAAAACTGAGAAAAAAGTATTTGGCTTACTTCCTCTATACATGTAGAAATCAAGCAACATATCTGAAATCACCCAGCAAAACCAAGACTAAAAGTCAGTTCCAATCTACTGATCCATAGTGCCTCCCTGAGAGGATTCAGTAATTGAAGTGGAGGCAATAGTTACTAAAGCAATTCCAAGATCTCACAAAATTGCATAATTTTATTATTATATAGAATATCAGAGGAAATCTACTCCAATTTTCTAAGTGTATAGATAAGGAAATGGAGTGAGAAGCAGTTAAATGATTCATGTGGTTTATAGGAGCCTAACTGGACTAGGAATGGCAAGAAACTTTGAAATAGTTCCAGCTTGGTAGCAACCAACTTGGTGAGTATGATCCTCTTCACAGCACAGAGCTGGACCAGATTAGCTTTAAGGTTCCTTCCATTTCCAATTTGATGAGTCTCTGATTTGCTCAAGCTCACAGTTTCCTGATTGCCAATCAAGAGTCCTTGGAAATATTCTATAATGTTGTATATCCCTTTCCCAAAAGGGAAATCCTAGTTCCTGCTGACTGAAGTAAATAATTTCCATTTGATCATTGGCTACCAGTAGTATTTATCAAGAATAATGAAATTCTTCTAGAAGCTGAGTTGGTCAGAATGTGGCAAGTTTCAGTGAGATCCATTTGGCTAGGAATGCTGGAGTTAGCAATTAAGAAAAAAAAAGGGTGGGGGGGGAGCACAAAAGGTACAGTGGAAGTACTGAGGGTCTTTAGCTCTCTCCTTAGTGCTGGCAATTCAATCCACTTTGCAACTGCAACCTTGGACCATCACTACACAATGTTCTGCCTTGCTTCTCCTTTGATCTTGAAATCTCCATTTTTATTTGTAATCTAGTATCGTGAATCTTATTCCTGATCAATGTTATGTATCCTCTTTCCATTCTGACATATAATAAATATATGTCTCTAATAAAATAAAATGTCTCCTACATTTTTAGGTTCTGCTGATACTAGCAATAGTTATCCTTTCTGGCTCAATAAATACTGACTTATAGAAAAAAAAGAAACTTTTCACCAGGTTAATTTTTGTCTTTGAACTGTTGGGAATTAACCTCAGATCCTCAGCCTAATGAAATGGAATTCCATTCTCATAATCATGTTATAGACCTTAGAGATAGTATCATCTAAAGCCCTTAATCAATTATGTTGACATTCTTCAAGAAGTTGATTATACATAATGAATCAGGGTTTGGGGGATCCACTGAGTCCTAAAGATGTGAAGTGACTTGACCACTCTTACACAGATGGCAGACAGTGCCACAGTGGCAGAGCAGGAATTTAAACACAGGTACTTAACTTCAAATGCAGCGCTCCTTCTGCTTTGCCATATTGACTCATCTTACTTCCATTTAAATGCCTTCCTGAATGGGCATAATCAGCGTCATAGGTTTCAGCTTATCATGGGACTTGAGGCCAAGTTAAGTGAGTTCAGCAAAGGCTGGTACACATTTGAGGGTTGATTGCTCTGTTTTAGTAGGGAACTAGAAAGTACCTTGAAACTTGATGTTAGAAAATGAGCTTTTAAGAATGCTTTTTGAAAAATGGCTAGGGCAATTTTTGATTTCTGCAGTAAATTTCCTTTTCTTTGCCCCCCAAAACACATTTCAAAAAAGTTTGTGGAGAGTTAAGAAGAGAGTGAGAAGAAAGGATATGGAAGCATCTGTTGTATACAGCCTTCTCAAGGGAAAAGAATAGAAAATGTGATGGTTTTTGTGTCCTGAAAAGCCTTTAACAACCATGCAATCATGCAGCTCTTCACACAAACTTTGCACTGCATCTCACAATGTGGCAGATTAATTTTAAAGACTCTTGTCCTCAACTCATGTAAAATCCCAAGGAGCATAGATACATTGTTCTACATAGTGTATATAAGAATGAAGGTTAGCTCATGGCACAATGCATAGAGCATTGGGCCTGCAGTCAAGAAGACTCGTCTTCCTGAGTTCAGATCTGGTCTCAGACTAGGTAGGTGACTCTGGGCAAGTTCCTTAACCTTGTTTGCCTCAGTTTCCTCATCTGTAAAGTGAACTGGAGAAGGAAATTGAGAACCACTCTAATATGTTTGCCATGAAAACTCCAAATGAGGTCACAAATAGTCAGACATGACTGAAAATGACTGAACAACACATAAGAATGCATATCAGTCATATGAAAGCAGCCAGGGTGACTGATAGGGGGCTGGCCTCAGTTTCAAGAACACATGGGCTGAAATTTCACTTCAGTGTATTTACTAGCTTTGTGTCCCCGGGCAAAGCATTTAACCTCTCTCAGTCTCTTTTTCCTCAGCTATAAAATGCAGATGATAATAACACCTACCTAATAGGATTATTGCGAGCATCAAATGAAATAATGATGTATGTAAAATGTATTTAAACCTTAAGGCAACATAAAACAAACTATTGCTGTCATTGCTGCATTAAGTTTATTCATATAAGAATTAAAAAATAGGGTGGAATCCATTGATGGTAATTCCTGCAAACTCAGATTTTCAAGCAAAACCCTGAGAACCAGGTCAAGGAAAAAAAAAGTCAGTGCCACAATCCAAGTCAGAAGGATAACTGGAAGTTTTACAAGTTTTTTTTTTTCCCCTCAGTCCTTATGTTTTAAGGAAAAATGGAGGATTCTAAATTCTGTCCATCCTCAGTAATTTCAGTACTTTCTCACATATTTTGTCATGTTTTCTGCATGAATTTGATGTTTTTAGGTTACAATATCTGATAACCTTAGAGGGCTCTAAGAATCAGAATCTCTATCAAATAGCAGGGGAAAAAAGTGCTTCAAATTCATTTCCTTGAAGTGAGATGAATCAGTGTGAATTCAACACACATTTGAAAGTGAAAACTTGATCTTTTCTGCAGTTGCTGTATTAGG